CCCCCCCCCCGACCCCCAGGTGCGCCGCGCGCTGCTGGCGCTGCTGCACGGGCCGTGCGGCGGCGAGGCCCGGGCCCAGCTGATGGCGCCGGAGGCCGCCTACTGCAAGGCTGTGGAGGGTTCCTTGGGCGGCCTGGTCACGCCCTTCAGCACGGGCCTGCTGCGGTGTGGCGTCGGCGACGGCAGCCTTGACCCCTTCCTGTCGAAGCGCGGCCTGGCATGCAAGTGGTGAGGGCGGGTCGCACGGCGGGCTCCGCCTGAACCACACAATAGCAGCTCAGCGCATGTGCGCGGTGGAACATGGGCATTCACATGCGAGTGCGCAGACATGCACACAAACAGTCACGTGCACCTGCTCATACAATCATATGCAATTGAGCAACCTGGTTGCTATGGAAGGTGCCTGCCCTTGACAGCACTAGTGTGCAGAACAGGTAGCTCATACGGCTCGCCGTCGCCAACAACCCCCTGACTGCAGGCACTACCTGCGGGCCCAGCTGCAACGGCTGGACGTCGCAGCAGCCGACGCCGCCCCTCCCAACGGCGCGCAAGAGGCTTTGCTGGGAGCGGCCACGGGCGATGCAGGGGCGCCGGCCGGCGACGGTGGCGAGGCCACCCAAGACGTGGCGGCCAGTGCTGTATACCTGGTGCTTGTGGGGCACAGCCCCGATGACCCAAACAAGATGCTGCGCTGGGCTTATCGGCTGCGGAGGCGCGGCCTGCTGTCGTCGGTGCTTCGGCACGGCGCGCTGTGCGGCGGTAGGCACCAGCACAGGGGGCGCGACTTTGCCCTCATTATGCACATCCCCTTGCATGTGCCGGCCGCTCTGACAGCTGTACCGGCCCTGCCCAACGCCGCCCTTGATATGCTGTGAGCCAACCTCAAACCGCGTCCTCACACCTCACTCCTAACAGGCGCATCGGCGTCCAGCGGTCGCGGCGACTACATTGTCGACGGAAGCGTCGACGGAAGCGAGGCCTCAGAGCAGCACTCGGGGCGCGTGTGGCGCCTGGCGCACCTGCTGCGCCCGGACGCCGCCGCGGTGGAGGCGGTGCTCGTCGACTTCGCAGCCCACTACCTGTCGCGCGCGCTGTTTGAACAGAGTTCCTACAGGCGGTTTTTCTTCGGCGATGACGCCTATCAGGGGACGCCCAAGGCGTGGCAGCTGTGGATGCGGTTCCTTCGTGCACATGGGGACGGGTTTTGCGTCGCGTCATGGCCCAGCGGCGTGATTGCTAAGGGCGCTGAGCTCTTGCTGGGGCGCTTCGAGGCGCAGGAGGGGTCAGAAGGCAAAGTGGAGCTGCTTCAGGGGTGCGAGGGCCGCGGCGGAGAGGCGGCGACCCCGGGGATTGGGGAGGGAGGAGGGCCGCGGGTGGAGCGCGGCGCAGGGGCGCTTGACCAGCGCCCGGGCGCTCCTGTGCGTGACGCCGAGAGCGGCGCGCTGGACACTCCCCATGCGATACAGCTAGACGAGCTGCCCTGCTCGCCTGCTTGACATCAAACAACGAACCTACGTCGCTGCAGAGTTGCGTTTGCAAATTTTTAGGCATTGTGGACGTCCATCTCTGGCAAGGGACGAGATTTTTTTTGCCGCTGCCCCCTAAGCTGCCATGCATCCGATCAATACGCACCGCTCCCTCGCCACAACACCATCCCCGCGCCAGGCTGCTCCAGGTGCTGAGGTGGCAGCCGGCCTACCGTGAGTCGGCTCTTGCCTCGGTGACGCACGCCCAGCACGCGAGCGACCGCGCCACCCAGTTTGCCGCGTTGCTGTGCTACAAGGTGCCCCGCGCGTGCGCAGCCGCCGTGAACGACGCTGTGCCGTGGGCGCTGGCCCGGATCAAGAACGAGCGAGCAGCCGTGCGTGCGGAGGTGCGGGGGGATGGGGGGCCCTGCCTGACGGCTCGGGTGGGGCAGGTGGTGCGCCAAGGCCTGAAGGCACTCAGCCGGGAGCTCCGCTTTCATGCACGATCAGTGTCATCGGCGGTGGGGCGCCTGGCCGGCGAGGGGGCCGAAAACCTCCGAGGCAGTCTGCGTAGCAGACGGTCTGGGCACTCAAATACAGAGCTCGGCGGTAGAGGGACGGGCGCATCCAGGGGTCCTTCGCCACGGCGATTCACCCGCCAAGGTGCAGGGATGTCATGCACACAGAGCTACCCCCCCCTCACGCCCACGCACGTGCGGACGCGCGGCCCCGCAGGTCCTCCATGCCCTCGTCTCCGGCGGCGGCAGCGACACTCACCGCTACTACCCCCAGGCCTGCTGCGCGAGCCTGCAGGGCCCGGCTGCCTGGCCGCTGGCTTTGCTGGATGCGGCGCACTACCCCCTGCTGGAGGCCGCGCTTGTCGGCGCGATGGCGGCGCCCGACTGCGGGGAGAGCCTGCAAACCGTGGTGCGTCGTTCGTGTCGCGGTCGTCTATCAGCACCCGTCACGCGAGCAACGCTCTGCTGCTCGACTCGGCGCACGCTCTGCTGTGCGTGACCTCTTCCGCAACCATTGACCCCGCCTCCAATGCGCGCGTTCATGCAGGTTTCATGTGTGGCGACGGCCGCCCTGAGGCTCGGTGTCGCGCGACCGCACGGGCCTGCGCTGGGGCTGGGGCTGCGGCTGCACGCCCGCTTTCTGCTGCGCGGCCGGCGCTCGGAACAGGTGCTGTGCGCTCTGCAGGCGGCAGAGGCTCGGGCGGAGCAGGGCGGCCTGCTGGGAAGTTGCCGCGGCGGCGCCGGGGGCGACGGCGGCGGCGACGGCTGGGTTGCCGGCCACGGCGGCGGCGGCGGCGGCGACGACAGCAGCAGCGACGGCGGCGACGGCAGCGACAGCGACAGCGACAGCGAGCAGGAGGAGGGCGAGGAACAGGACGCGCCTTTCAGCGCAGGCGGCGCTTGGCGCCCGGCCGCGGCGCTGGGTCCGGCAATCAGCCACGAAGTGCTGCGCCGCAGCGAGGACGCGCCCGCCGCGATCGACGCCATGCTCTCCCACCTCCTGCCGCTGTATGCGGCCGCCGGCCGGCGCACCGCCGCGGCGCGCCTGCTGGCCGCGGCGACGCCCTTTGCGGTGCCCGCCGAGCGGCCCGTGGCCGCCCGCGCGCTCGGGGTGAAGCCCGGCGCGGCGCCGCCGCCCGTCCTGCGGTCGCTGCTGCTGCGGACCGCACAGGCGGCGCTCCCGGGCACAAACTGGGGCGTCGAAGAGCCCTTCGAGGCGGCGCTGGGGGAGCCGGGCCCGGACGTGGTGGAGTGGCTGTTGTTAGAGGGGGTGGTGGATGGGATGGACGGAGTCGTCCTGTGGCTTTCCGAGGTTGAAGGGGACGAGGCCCTGGCGCGCGCCAAGGTCTGCGGGCAACCTGTCTTAGTGGGGGGGGAGGGCGTTTGGATGGGAGGCATGCTTATTGCGGCTGGGTTAGGCACGGTGTTGGCAGCGGTGGGGCTGGCTAGCTGGGAGATTCGTGACATGCATGCCCTGTGTGTAGGAGCACGCCATGGGGC